TGCGAAACCAAATCATAACAAACTAGTCATATGACCAAAGTGATCACATACTCAAAACCCATGACCTCATAGCGAGGTTATGTGCAAAACTCATAAACTAATCATAATGCAATAAACAAGTCATATGACTCGACTGAGTCATATGCACGAAACCCCTGACCTCATAATGAGGTCATGTGCGAAACATAAATCATATGCGCAAGGCTTACCCACAAGGCACACTCGCAAGGCATACTCGTCAGACGCATGTCCCATGACTCATACTTGAGCCATGTGCGAAAGCATCACAAATCCCACACGTAACAAATCATATAACCTGAATAGGTCATATGAGCAAAACAATAACATACCTGTGACTTATAACCATGTGTCACGTGAAAACCTTTTTCATGCTAAGCCACGTTTGTGACACCCCTGCTCATGCACCATAAAAATGCGGAAGATTGTGGATCTTCGTCAAACCCCCCTCTGGTGGGCTGCTAGGAATGGCTATGAGGAAATAGTAAAGCTATACTGATGTTAAGACTCTGTCAGCTCTGATACTCTAGATAAGGAATTTGGCCAAAACCCACACTTAAGTACTGCTGAGAATGGTTGTAAGATGGTGATATAACTACTGTTGACTCTGGGAGATGTCACCCCTGATAGTTTGTGCAAATCTGGCTGGACACCGCTCTCATAGGCTGCTGAGAAAGGACAGGAAGGAGTAGTAAGGTTGCTGTTAGGGCAGAAAGATGTTAACCCTCCACATCCTAGATGAAGATTTTGGCCAAAAACCTCTCTCATTGGCTCCTGAGAATGGCTACAAGGTGATAGTGGGCCAATTGTTGAAGTGGAAAGATGTCAATCCTGATAGCTTAAGTAAATCCCACTGAAAACCCCTCTCATTAGCTGCCAGGAATGGCATCAAGGAGTTGTGAAGCTTCTATTAGAGCAAAAACATGTGGACTCTATATAATTCGAGTTAATACACCTAGACCACACTTTAGCTGGCTGACAAAAATGGGCACGATGAAGTGTTGAAACTGCTGCAAGCTCCACACTCCCAAAATATCCAGTAATTGAGCCTTCACTTAATTTTCCAAAGTTATCTTTCTTCTCTCATGAGAATTGTCCTTTTCTGCTAAGTTTTTATGGTACTCTAAAAATCATTTTTTCAACTTCATCTTACAACTAAAGTTAAATCTGTACATATGAGAATCCTACAGTAGATATGAGTACAGATTCATTTAATATTACTCAAATGCCAAGCTACTAGCTTGGGCGCTAATGCATGAGAGAGATTTCACCTGTCTCAGTGGACCAGAGGATAGTAAAGTAATGGTAAGTTAACTGATTTTGTGTGCGCCAAGCATACATGAAACAGCAAAGTAAACTAAAAATTTTCCTCTTTTTTAACTTTGAATACCTCTAGTATTCTAGGAGTTGGAAAAAAATCTGTCGAACCCTTAGCGCCAAATTATAGTAAATACTGCCAAGAGTTCAACAAATCCTTTTCAGCCCCTAGTACAAACTTGTACCAGCCGTGTGCCCTCTTTCCAGCCTTCTTCGTTTGTCCCGTCACGTGATTCAAAGAACTAAAGTTGAAATATAGTCTGGTTTGGCCTACCATGATAGGTGTGTAATGCCAATTATACAGCTGTTAGGAATACCGGGATCTGAAATCCAGAGGTCACCCTAAGTAGGGTAACCTTATCTGGAATTGGAATCTCTGGTCTCCAACACCCCCCTCTGGCTCTGTTATAGGGCCCACACGTTATCATACATATTAATCTCGGTTGCGTCCTGTGACTATAATCCCACAGAATTGAAGGTGTCAGAATAACACCATATACATCGCCAATGTGAGTCCGACAGGATCCTTTTCGCGGGATATATGAGAGGGGCCCTTTGGATAGGTCTGGGAAGTGAAATAGAGTGAATCCGCTAAATACTCAGAACGTTACTAGGCTTCAAAGATGTGATATCTTTAGCATAGGCTATAGGTAACAGGACATTTCTGCATAAAGAGATGGTATTGAATGGTAATGGATCTCAACATGAGACCAATATATTCACACCACCCTACAATATCTAGAAGAGTCTAGAACTCCGAGAAATACTACTATAGAAGTTATTAGACTACATGAAGTGTTGCAACTAGGTTTCAGGACACATTATAGTTACAAAGATAACTTCTCATACTACAACAGTGATTGAAATCCTGTTACCTAAAAGCAACCAAGAGTTGCCGACTGAGGGAATAATTATCAATTCGGTAGAATAGCTTTCTGCGAATTAGTAGGAAGCCTTCCTGAAGACATTTATTGATTGGGTAAGGAGTTATAAAGGTTTAAAGTCAGATGACTAAGAAGGGTTGCGATTACAACTACCTTCGCAGATACAACCTGCGGGTGAAACTGATAATTTCACCAATAAATGAAGACCATTGGAGCCAACTCAGTTCAACTTGAGACCTAGGCCACAAGTTTAAAGACTCTGAAGATCAGATAACTACTATTGGAAACAGTATGGTTCCAAGTTAGTTATATCATAATTAGCAAAAAGGATGTGGTGATTTTCAGGGTCTCTAGGTGTTCGCACCTTTTAAAGATACCCAACATTATGAGTTATAGTTAAGAAAGATAGAGAGTGGTATGATAAATATATGTAGCCCACAAACACTCAGACGTGGAATATACATATCAAAGTGCCTCCTAAAGCTTTAGACATCATCAAGCAACGTAGAAGAGACTTTAAAAATATAATATTGTTTTTATAATTCTATCTTACTTTACTAAATTTACTTTGCTCTTAGTAGTCATAAACAAAAAGAGTGAACTCGAGCCTTCCTAGACAATCTCCGTCTATAGAAACAAATTTCAATTGGCCTAGACAATTCTGAAGTCTATCAGATTGTCTCTGCCTAACAGCAGCTGAGTGGCCGATTTAGAATTGACATTGCTCCACTGGTTTGGCCCAAGTTATGAGTATGCAACGCCAATTACGGATACTTTGTAATTTTTTAACGTTTGTGAACACAACTGGGTCTGCATATGCCTGCATATGTACAATAGACCAATAATAGCAAGTTAAACAACATACAATATGAGAAAATGTGACCAAATTCTAAGTACTCCGGTATGTAGCCATTACCCATTACCCTTTATGTAAAAGTATAGACTAAAACCTCTCCAAACCTTCCAAAATCTTACTATCTTCTGATATTAATCATGTGTGCAGCTCCACAAGAAAAAACAACTTACATGGTAAAGTGGTTCCAAATTTTCAGTTATGCTAATATGAAAGGTAGTCAGAAGGTAACCTTACGGCAAATTGCTGAAAAGACATGTGTTCTGGTTAGCCCTTATTCGAATATTATCCAGGAGGTAAAATGAAGAGCAGAGTAGCTGGGTGGGAACAAAGATTTCTGTACGGAGGACAATCTGAGTCCAAAGACAAATAGTGTAAAAGGCTCTACTTCTGTTCTTAATGAAGAGCAGAAGTAACATTTGATTAGTGTTACGCTATCAGATAGTGAGCATTGTTGAATAACTTATCATTCACTCAAGCAAGCAGGTAAAATTTGTTTTTTTCTTTACTCTATAGCTATGTACATAATGAAGACTAATAAAATCAATATTTAAGCTGGCCTCAATGTCAGTGGTCTCACAGTAAGAAAAGTACTTGCAGAAAATAGAATTCATTGTTGAAAGCCTACAGAGAAGTCTACCTTATCACTAGAGCATAAGATAGTATGATTGGTTTTTTATTTAAGCTACCAATACAATAACTAGGAGGAGGTGGTATTTACAGATGAGTCTTACTTTGAAATGAGTACACTGTGACGCCACCGAGCTTGTGGAGTATTACGCAGAGTGGGGGAGGCATTTCTTCCATGTAACCTTAATCAAAAATTTCCAAAAGAAGCTCTAGTCATGTTTTGGGGTACAATACTATATGGCTATGAAGGCAAGCTAATTCTTTATTTATTACTACTAGTAACTATAGAAATAGAAATTTAAAAATACTAAATACTAATTTACATACTCACACAGGTTCAGAGCTATCTTATCACCTCAACTCAATCCCATACGAGACCAAAACCCAACAGACCGCCACTGTTGTTCAACTTCGGAGGGAATGGGAGGAGGAAAAGGTAGAAGTTGAGATATATAATCTTACACCTCAGGGGAGAATTGGTTCTAAACCAATCCCCAAGTTGAAGGAGAGGAGAAATGATAGAAAAGGTGGAAACAATTAGTTCATATATCGTGAACGCATTCAAATTCCCCTTCTCTACCCCTTCATCACCACTGCTCAAGCAACCTTGGGGCGGCACATTGTGATAATGGAGGATAATGCTCCTATGTATATCCACCACTATCACAATCCCACCTGGGTAAAAGTGGACCTCCAGAAGTTAGCCTGGCCAGCTAACTTTCTGGATCTCAATCTGATCGAAATGATCTAGACTGAGATGAAGAACCGAATTAAAGAGAGGCTTGGAATACAAATGACTGTTGCAGGCATTCATATAGTGGTAGAGGAAGAGTGGGTTAATTATCCAGTTGAGAGGATTAACCACCACATTCTGTCAATGCACTGGCACATTGAAGCTTGTATTGAAGATAAAGGTGGAAATAGTTTTAATTTTTAACTTTTAATGTTTAATTTTTCTTTGCATGTAAGAGTACATTCAATATCTAACTATCTTTTAGTACCAAGTGACGGCTCTATGACTTGGATTTCCATTTTTCAACTACTACATGATTTTTTTATTCTTCCTATTCAGTAGAAACTTCATTGTATCTTTTTCCTTCTTCTCAACTTCCCATTGTTTCAAAAGTACTTGCCTGCAGGTCTCATGCAGCTAGTCTTGGCTGCATATGCGGACCCAGTTGTGTTCACAAATGTCAAAAAATTACGAGTAGCACTCCTTGCTTTCGTGTTTCTGAAGTCACAATTCAGCACTCGGGGTCCTTTTTGAGCTACCGGCAGTGGCGATAATCTGCTAGTACTTTTGTACCTCTAAAAGTAAGATAGCATAGCACCTGTAAATGATTATAAGAGATAAGCTCCTAGAAATGCATAGACCAAATATAATGAAGGAGAAAAAGTGAAGACACTAGAGCCTAGCATCAACTAAGAATGCCTAACCATACTCCGTAAAGGGAAAGGAAATGAAAAAAATACACTAGTTCTACCTAATCACTATCTTCAGCCTCCTCATCAGGATCCGCTTGGGCCCCAACCCCAGTCCATACCTCTGCCACCTTTGCCGAGACAGCCGGTCCGACCTTTTTCCTTCCAAGAGCGCTTGCGGACTGCTTCATGATCATCTCCTTCATCTCATCCTCACTCGCACACCGCTCATAAGCCTCGACCAGTTCGATGGGGGTGGGATACGCCTTTTGAATCTGGAGCGCCTTGTCTAAGCTAATGCCCCGAACACACATAAGCATTTTCAGGTATACGTCTCTGAGGTTCAGGCTGGCGCTCTTAGAGACTAAGGTTGAGAAAATAGAGTAATTTATGTTGAACTGTTTTTCGGGGAATTTCTCATTCAGGTGCTTGCGAAAGGCTTGGTATGTGCTCGAGTCAAGGAGATTGTCTGGGATCAGGCTCAAATCCTTGGTCTGCGAGGCTGGTTAGGAAGGCATGTCGGGCTACGTCTAAGGGCGGTTTTTACCTCGTACTCCTTTTCTAACTTCTTCGTCATTCTGACTAGGTATCGTATAGTGTCATCCAGTTTGCCTGTCCTCTTGACGAAAAATCCGTCGACAACCTGTGTAGAACTGATCGCAGTATTCATAGCGTCTTGCATTGCTCTATCGGCCTCTTTAAGTGTGAAATCCTCGATAATGTAAATCACATGTTTCAAACCACTCTTCGCTAACCGGAACTTCTGCTCGTGGAACCGCCCATCTTTGATAGAAGCAACTAGGTCGTCAAGTCTTTTCCGCTCGGCAATGTGATCCAAAGCAATTTCACGATTACGACCACCCCTCTCGCAGGCAATCCACATTGCATCGCCAACTTGGAGTGGTCGGGTGATTGGGTTTATGCCGCAAGTCTTAAGATTATCTTGAATATAGTCGCGGTCATTTTTCGTACGGACCTCCCGGTTGTCCAGGAGCAAATGAACAGTGAACGATCCTGCCTTCACTATTTCGGGTGAGAAGTCAGGAAATGTGGACCTACTGCCAGAGGCAGCACGAGAGGCAGTCGTAGATCCCGCACGAGATTGCGGCCGTGATGATGTGGGTGCACCGCGATCGACCGATGTAATTGACGACGCTTGGGACGTGACATTTCCAATCTTGTGCCTATGCGGGACAGCTGGAATATTGGCGTTCGACTTGCTCTTCTGTGTCAGGACAGTAGCTGAAGGGTGCTCCGGGGAGAGCGTCAAGTCGATTTCGGTGGAAGTGCGAGGCAACGGAGCTACGGATGGCGTCTGAGATCCCGACGGAACTACTGGCAAGCGTCTCCCATCATTGATTGGTCCGGTGTTCTGGGAAAGCGGCATGGAATTCCTCCCAAGTGTGCTTGCACAATCACTGAGCTCAAGGCCATCCTCAGATGCCCTAGAATTAGCTTCTGGCTCTTCTAATATTCTTCGCAAGATAGGTCTATTATCCTCCTCATGTCTCGGGTCAGCCCGGCGTCGGTGACGTGATGGGGCTACATCACTGCTATCCTCACTTCCATCTCCGCCCCAGGTATTACGCACGGCAGGGGTTCTCTTCGACCTCGAACTAGGAACGCTACCTGAAGCGGTCGCACCCCCTCTAGCTGTGGGACCTCCAACTTGGGCTGCCTCCCCAAAACCGCCATCGGTGTCCCCAAGACCTAGATCCAAGCCCTCTTCGGCAGCCAGAATCCCCCTCCCGACCTCCTCCCCTCCTTCTGTCAACATATACCTCTTCGGGTTACCACTGAAATACACATAGTTGCTGCTTATGAGAGTCCTCATGGAGGCCCAGGCAGTGTAAAACTTTCCCGCCTCGGCCGGAGCATCGAAAGACGAATCACAGTACGGTCTCGCTCGGTCGATGAGCTCCGTTTTAGTCAGCATATCTCCATCACCCTTGTAAAGAGCGTATAGGAGCGCATATGCGCCGGTGCGTTTCTTGGGAATGTAGGCTTTGGTTGGCCGTCTTTTCTTCGGTGGCGGGGCAGCTCCTGATCCTTCCCCAGCGGCGCTCTCCCCTCCGTCCAAGTCATCACGAGCGCGACCTATTTAGGACGTCCGTCAGGTTCTTAATACTCAAGTACAAATAGTCAAACATGGGTGGGTGGGAATCTAACGCCGTTTTGCCTTTTTCGGCATCGGGAGACCATTGGCCTCGCAATGGATTCGCAGAGCTTGTGTTAGCCTCTCGCAGAGAACTGGCCCAAGGCCTTTGAGTTGGATCGCTTCACTAGGATGCTGAAAGGGTATCGGACATACCCTCATAGCTTCGTAGGCATTTCTGTAGCTATAACTTTATTAGAATTAAGTTGACTCTAAAGGTAGAAGGAATATGTAAATACGTAGTAACTCTCTTGGAGTTTTGTTGCCTTGCAGTATCATACCAGTCCCTCAGAAACCCAAGAAGGAGCGGATTGGCGCATTCATCGTCGGCCATTATTGGCGACGATGACTCGGTCGGAGATAGCAGCCAGCAGAAGTATGATACAGCAGACTGCAAGGAATGAAGTGGAGTAACCTGCGAATTTGGGGAGACGCGCCGGACAGCGCGATTACTCCGCCGATTTGACTAGGTTGGGGGGTGGCCGGATCAGATAAGATTGGGTGGGATGGAGTGAGATTAGATAATCCGGTCACCGTGGAGGATGTAGGGGAGAGGCAATATTTGCGTGCTTCCCCGCGAGTCGCACAGAAGAAAGACGTTGGATCACGTAAATTTAACTTACCGCTAGACTACGGTATTCCTCGCCCTGCCGCGGCTTGTGTCACGGGAGAAAATCATCCCTTTACCTGTCTCTTGTAGCTGGATCCTGAATTGCTGCCCTTCAACCTTGGACCCTGAATTCTCTTCTCTCTATTTGCCTCCTCTACCTTTCTTTACCAGCACCTTTTGTCAAAGAATCACCATCACCTATTGTTTTCGTGGCACCTTTGACACCCCCCATTGCCCACAATGTCAGGCTCCAATAATCCGACTGATTCTTCAATTTCGAAGGCTTTCTCGAAGATTGATAACTCCGGAAATAACTTTCCCCCTTCGCCAGCCCCTTCTACCCCCACAAATGGGAGAAAGTATGCTCTGGCTACGGAACTCGTTTACACCGAAAATTCTGATCAGTACGATGCGTCGTCTGTGCCTATATACCAAGTTTGCCCCCTTGGATCTCAGTCATCTGTCTAGGCACTGATCAGTGAATCTTTGAAAGTCTGCTACTTTTAAACAAAAATCTGCATCTGGGGGAGGCTCATTTGATTACACACGGTCCGGAAATCCAACCAGATCGCACGTAGAGCGCCACCTCGCAAAGATCATGTCTGCAAGCCAAGCTCTTGTCGTTTCCTCTGGAATGGGAGCTCTAGATGTGATCACCCGTTTGCTAAAGCCTGGAGACGAGGTTGTCACCGGTGACGATCTTTACGGAGGCACAAACAGACTACTGAAATACCTTTCTACACATGCTGGCATCACTGTCCACCATGTAGATTTTTCCAATGTCGACGCCCTGAAAGCAACCTTCACACTAAAAACCACAATGGTCATTCTGGAAAGCCCAACAAATCCACTCATCAAGATTACGGATATACCGGGTATTGCCTCGCTGGCGCATGCCGCTAATCCCAGTGCCATTGTTTGTGTGGACAACACTATGCTCTCCCCCCTGTTGCAGAATCCCTTGGACCTCGGCGCCGATATTGTCTGCGAATCTGGAACCAAATATCTCTCGGGCCATCACGACCTTATGGCAGGTGTGATTGCAACTAATGACCCGTCGCTGGGCGAAAGGTTATACTTTACGATCAATTCCACGGGTTGTGGGCTCTCGCCATTTGATTCATGGCTACTGCTGAGAGGAGTCAAGACTCTTAGTGTTAGAATGGAGAAACAACAAGCAAGTGCACAGCAAATTGCAGTGTTTCTGGAGGACCGTGGGTTCAAAGTTAGGTATCCGGGTCTTAAGAGCCACCCGCAGTATGACCTCCACTGGAGCATGGCTCGGGGTGCCGGCGCAGTTTTGAGCTTTGAAACCGGTGATACTCACTTAAGCGAGAAGATTGTGGAATCTGCCCGTCTGTGGGCTATCAGTGTCAGCTTCGGATGTGTTAATAGTTTGATTTCCATGCCGTGGTATATATAAAGGAACACTTACTCCAAGTTTTCGGGATCTGGCTAATGTCCCCTCCCAGTCGCATGAGTCATGCCAGTATCGACGCAAAGACAAGGGCAGAACGACAGATGCCTGAAGATATTATCCGACTCTGTGTCGGAATTGAAGAGTATCCACATCCCCTCCCTCTAAAGTTTCCGTTTCCTAATAATACTGACGCCGATCTAGCGTCGATGACCTGATTGATGATCTCCGCACAGCACTCATCCAAGCAGGTGCGGTCACTGTAACCGTCGACGGTATTAGGGCCGGCGCCCCAGATGGCACTTTGCTTGGTGGTGGCGTCTCACTCGCCTCTGCTTCATAAATAATATATGTTAAATTCTTGATAAAAAGTTACCGATCCCATCCAGGTCTAGCCTTCTTTCCCCTTTGCATGGTTTGCGGTATGATATCTATCTATTGCTTTCTCTCTCTCTGTTTCTTTACTTAGGTGGGTGGGTGAGTGAGTGAGTACTATATAAAATTGGAGGCGTTTCTTTTCTCTTTTCTCTTTTCCTCCTTGGCTTTCTACCTACCGGGGGACTACAAAAGCGGATGGATGCTGGGGGTTGTATGTGACTACTTGGATGTAGAATGGGAAGAAGGCAGATTTTTGCTGTAAAAATGTCTATTCAATTTTATCAAGGATTCGCGAGTCAAGTATCGCATTGCGGGCATCACCCATCAAGCTAGCGATCTGCGTAATATGGTATTATGATACACATGTCATACTAGTACACACACACCCTCCCCGGAAATCTATTATGTACTCGTACTGGTCAAACTGTATCATACACTTTCCTCCAACATAAAGACAAGTTATCGCAGCGGCACAAGGGTTTATAACCGCCGATCAAGATCTTCATCCTTACACACTCGTTCCTGCCCTATTGCAGCAGAGCTCAACCCAACCCCCCCAGCCCCCCGGCACAGTAACTTCATCTGATCACCCGCGAATATCAGTGTTTGCCAGGACAAACATTGCGACGGGCTTATCATTAACGCCCTTCACTTTCTAAACACGCTACACACCATACACCGCACCTCCCTCACCGCACCTCCCTTCACCAAAAAAAAAAAAAACCAAAAGCGTTCCGTGGGTTATGATACCGGTTCAACTTTCGCTCCTCCCTTGGGAGCCGCTCTACGTTTTTTGTGCGTGTGCGATATCCTTTACAACACCATATCATATTTTCCGCTCGATTGGACAATGATCGAGCGAAGCAAGAAGGAACAAAACTAGCGACGAGTATATATATCCATCCATCCCCCCTACGATAAATACAGAAACTCGGATCGCCCAATCACTTCTACGATACCTGTAGTATGAAGGATACGCTGTGGGTACTGCCGCTTGTGAAACGGACTATACTATTGTCGCGTGGTGGGCGAGAGTTAATTGTAGTAGGTATATTGAGCATCGGGGTTTTGGCGGTAGGTGTGCATCATACACTCTACCCAATTACCGTCAAATACAATGGTAAGGAATGACTCCAAGTATAATATCTACACCCTTCCCAAATTTAAGGTCTCGGCGCGGTGAAGGGGTATATCACTTATTTCTCCGGATTTTTGTATGATAGCGCTGGTGGGGGGTTTTTTTTCTTCTTCCTTCTACGCAGGTTGGGCAATCTGTCGGTATCGAGGGGGAGGGAGGGAGGGGGGAAGGCCAAATTTGTGGATCTGGTTGGCACTTGAGTGATTCGGAGAAGGGGAAAAATGCCAGTGGTGGTTTAGATGTGTGCTCTTCACGTGGCGGTCAGGTATACGTGAAGAGGGTTTTGGTTTGATACCTTGATCGCTTGCTTCCCTTTTCCGTGATATCATTCCTGCAACTTCCTGATTCTAATACACGAGTGATAAATTGTGATCATTACTCTCATACGGTACTTGTACCACTATTATGTGCGGTAAATATTATGAAAAACCCTCACGAGGAAAATTGGAATAGACGAGATACAAAGAAAGCCCCTTCCAACCAACCAACCAATCTCATCCAACATCACTAGTGTCACAACTTACTAGCTTACTAGTACATTACCGCCCACATAGGATCGAACTGCCCCTCCACCTCGCGCTGGCCCCTATATACCACTTCCTCCTCCTCGCTGACGGGTAGATTATCGCTACCCTGCAACCTCTGCACGAGGCTCCGTGCCTCGAGTAGGCTGACTAACGTCCTACCGCACCTAGCCTCCTGAGCCGCCTTGCATGCGAGCTTGAAAGCGGAATCTACGTTGGGCACATCATACATTTTCTCCGGTGGTTCCCCATTTTCTGAGACTTCCGAAGCGCTGTCCTCTGAAGGGGAGAAACCAAAGAGCCGGGGTCTAAAGATCCCGCCGTGGTAACCCTGGGCGTGTATGGCTTGGGGTTTTTGGGAGATCTTTGTGAGGTAATTGCTCGTTGCGATCTCCAGTGGGGTGCGGCCCGAGGCGTTTTCCGTGTTTATGTGTTCTGGCTTGAGGGACAAGAGCAGGCGGGCGGGGATCGCCAGATTTCTTCGGAGAACCTAGTAATTCCCCTATGTCAGCATGAAGTCTCAGAGGATAGAGGGGAAGGGAGGGGGTGTAGCTACAGTATGAATCGGGAGATTCCCTTCGGAGTCGAAAAGCCCCAACTCTTTACCCTTGGAGTACTTGAGAAGGGTTTTCATACCGAGAAGGTGGAACTGGCTGCCCCTGGACATGGGAGGTGAAAGTAGTTGGCCAAGAAGGTGCGCAAGGGGAGTGCGCCCGTGGCGACGTGTGCGTTGCAAGAACATATCTGCCAATTTATCTTCGGGGAGAAGCCCCACCGTTTCTTCGATTATAGGGACTAACAAATTAGGGTAATCGCTGGTATTGCAAAAAGCTAAATGTAGAGCATTTCGGCCCATGAAGTCACGAGTGGAAAAATCGGCGGCAACATCCTCTTGACGGAGGTATTTGATTGCTTGAATCCGATGATGGGCAACCGCGAACAATGCGGGTGTGAGACCAGAGCTGGTGCGAGAGTCTAGGGACCCGGGACGTGAAACCAAGAACCGGAAAGCCTCCATTGGATCAGGCCCAGCCCATCCTAACAGGCAGATATGCGGGAGATTTCTGTTGTCCAAGCCAAGTGATTCTCTGAATAACTTTGGCAGTGCTTCTCCTTGGTTCTTCAGTAACTTGGCACGCTCATCTTGGGGGTTGAGGTCCATGAACGAATCGAGACATCTCCGGGGCCGATCACTCAAAAGCCATTTGATCGAGTCAAGATTTCCAAAGTATGCCGCCAACTGGAGTGGTTTTTGGACATCTTTCGTGTCTGGTGAGGAGGTTTCATATGGGTTGTGCACTCGTGCTCTTGTGCCGTTGACTACAAGGCCTTGGTAATACTTGGGCTTAGCATTCTGGACCTCGGGATCTTTTTCCCTCAATGAACTATAGTGAATCCCAAAGGTGTAGCGCTTCATCAGCTCTTCTAGGACCCATATCCGACCTAGGGCAAGTGCCAATCTGACATGCGCACAGCCGTTATACCGCCATAGCCCATTGAACGGAAGGATGTATCGGCGGACGGCCTCGAGTCCGCCAAACTCCTCTACAGCTGACAATATGAATTCAAAGAGCTCTGAATCGTCCTTGTATATTGAGAATGAAAGTATGGTCCATCCCCCCAGCCACTATTTTGGTGCAACAATCAGCTCAAGAAGCTCTATGGGAAATTTCCGTATCAGTCTTACCTGAAATAGTTTCTGTTTCCTGAGTGAGGCTTCCTCCTCTTCACCCAGCAGCTCATCTAATTGGGGTGAGCCCTGGCGTATAAAGTCACGTGGGGAAACGCTGCACTTGACGAAATCAGACACTGCACCAGCATCTTCAAGAGTAAAGTCCTCGTCGCTAGTCTCTTGGAGATAATGCTCAGCGCCATCGTCATCGCTGTCGCCGGGTATACTGATCCTAACTGCCTTTCTGGCTTGCTTTTTGCCCGGTTCCTCGTATTGAGATTTCACGATTTCTAATATTAGTTTAGCCATGGCGTAATCGCGGCGGTAGATAGCTACCCACAGTGTGGTCCATCCCCGACTACTCACGGAAATTTGAAGAGCCGGCATAGGGGGTTCTCCGGAGGGGCCTGTTGTAAGAGTCTTTACAGTTTCCTGATCTCCTTTCCAAATTGCATTGAATAATTCGCTATACCGTTCACGTGTATCCCGTTGACAGGCGATTGAGACCTCAAAAGGCACCGCATAAGGGGATGGGGTTCCTGGGGCGCCAAATAGACCCCCAACACCCTGGTTAACTAGGCCAAAAGGAAGTGCGGGTTGCACCGCGGGCGGAACCAGTGTCCTTTCCGGATATAACTCTTTAAAAGTTTTTGCCCCAGCCTCGAGTAATACCTTCTCAGTCTCTTCGAACAATCGCAGGAGCCCCTCAACCTCCTCCTTCGTATTTGCCGTCCGACTCACCCCGAATCTCGTAGGCTGTCGCCCAAAACCTCCCGACCTAATTTCTCGAGCCTTGTTTTCTCTCTTCCAAGCAAATTCAGCAGTGAATCGCTCCCAGGACCCTTCTGGAAAGCTATCAAGGAAAGAGGCGGGGAGCGGCTCTTCGCTCCGAACAGCGACCACTTCCGGCTCCGCGTTGAGGAAATTGCGGTATGCCTCGATCTTGTTACGTAACTGGTCAAGAACGGTTTCACCTGGAGTTTGAAGTGGCCCTGTGGCCTGGTTGAAGTCCCATCGGGTCGCTGTAGACGAAGCGATAGTTGATGGGTCTGCCCCTGCCTTTATAAGGCGTGGTATGAGTGCGCATGCGGACTCGCATTCGATGGAGATTTCGATGGTTTGTTTGAGTTCCTTGTAGTAATGGTTAGTATTATGTCCTTGGTAAGTTGTGTTGTAACGGGTCTTCAAGTAGCGGTGAAACTCGTCGAACTTGACATGTCCAGCTGCACCTCTGTCAAGAAGGTAATTTGCGATATCGAGTGATTTACCTTCCCCCGCTTTTCTCAAAGCTGCTATAAGGGGTGTAGTCACTTCATTTTGGACGTTGTGAGCGGAAACTTGATTGAGAACGCTTGTCGCCCCTAGGCCATCGAGCTCAAACATTTTTTCCAAAACAGGCGTTGCATCATGCATCACTGCATGCAGTAATCCAGTGGCTTTGGAGAAATTGTCAGCTTGTGAAGTCCTTGCGCCTACCCTCAAAAGCGTAGTAGCCATCTCAGCTTGCTTTTCCTTAGGGAGTTGATAAATAAGAGCGAGGACAAGTACGGCTGCTTTCGGCATCTTGGGTCTCCCGTACATCCTCTCAAAGATCTTCATAGGGATAAGTGGATCAGCGCCAAAGTCAGAAACCAATAGCTCAACGACGTTACAGTGACCACGAACGATAGCATGGTGGAGGGGTGTCATTTGGTAATCCCAATCAATGACATTAATATCATATATATCGTCCTGATCCTCATCCTCATCGTCATCATCGATCACCCCTTCCACCGGTCCGCCTTCTTCTTTATCCTTTTTCACTCTAACGTAGGAGCCATCAGTGGCAGTTTCTGCAGCGATTGACGCAGTCCCAGCTCCCATGTACTCAAATTCTTCGCCAGACAAATCTGACTGTGAGTGGATCGATTCCGACATGTTCTCGTCGCCGTCAGCACCGACTTCTCTGGCTCGCGAGCCTTCCGTAGCTCTCCTATTTTTATCCCTAAAGTCTCTTCCATGCTCGTTCTCTTCGCTCTTCTTGAGTAGAGCGGTGATGATATCAGCCCTCCCCTTCCCTGCCGCAATGTGGAGCGCTGTGCGTCCGTCCTGGATTCTTGCCACGAGCCTTGCACCAGCGTCAACCAAGACCTGTATAATTTCGACTAGGGTACCCTCATTCAGCACGGCTAAATGCAATGGGGTTCGGCCACAAAAGTCCCGACAATTGATGCTTGCTTTCCCCTCTTCCGTAGCGCACCAAGACATGACGAACTCAAGGTCATTTTTAACAATAGCCTGACAGAATCGCTCCGTGTTTCCGACATATGCCATTTCGGTATAATCTTCTGGGCCGAGTGGGTAAAAGCTACCAATCTCTTGCCTTCCAGGGTCGTCTTTGAGGAACTTGAGGTCTCCACGGATATACGTGGCGTCTTCCTGCTCCTGTACTTTTTTCTCTTCATCGTTTAATGGATCCGGGCAGAAGCCGCAGCAGTCTACAACCACTCCTTTAACAGTGCCGAGAAATACAGGGTGTCGATGAAGATGAACTGTGCGGTGAGGGGGAGCATTCCGGGGGTTCCATTCCGCGTTCAATAGGAGGTCCCTCTTGATAAACAGCCTCTCAATTCTAGCCTTTGTCAATTGAATGTCCGTTGCAAATTATCAGAGAAGCTCACTTCTTGGCGTCGTAACTTGGCCCATAAGGAATTGAGAATTTCTCGTAATTTGACACATCCTCAAAGTCCCATTCAGCGAGATCCTCATCCGCCCCCTGTTTTTTATTGTCCCGCCCCCCCCTCACCCAGGACGAGGCGCAAGGGTCCACCGGACGTCCCATCTCCTCCTTTCTCTGGCGTACATATGCATCTCGTCCCTCCGGCTCAGGAAGGGCCTCGAGGACGAGAAGCCTAGCTAAACCGACAGTTCTACTGAACGATCGTTCGAATATGGTTGGGTCGATGCGCGAGCGGTCTAGGAACGGACAATAAACCTCGAACCCTCGACGGGAATACTTGGCAAGACGATTCTCATATGCTGATGCACTGTTAGAGCCCGGAGAATAAAAATGAGAAAGAAGGGGAGCAAAAAGGAAAAAAAAAATGGCGAGTCACAAGGAGATCTTCTGGTAAGGTCAATGTCATTGCATTGGGTCAATGCAGCCGCGATACTACAACAAATTTTAGCTTTAAGGGATTCGTCGAAGGGATGAATGGTCATATTGCACATACGCACGAGGAATCGCCAGAACTCGAGCACCATCATAAGCAACACATGCACCTTAAGATATGCTGTTAGTAAATATTTTGAAGGATAAGGGTGAAACTTGGAAGTGGCAGGTAGATTCACAATTCACGTCGAAGCCGGTAAGGATATGAGAGATGCTCTTGTACAGCCTCAAGACTATCTGAACGTGTCTGTTCGGATATTGGCTGACAATGGTGATGGTGTTCTTCGTTCTCACAGTACTGATCAACTTGAATTAGCCTGATTAGCCACACGTGCTCGATACAACTCACGTTGTCTCCCAAATAAGGTTATCCTTGATGGTGTTCTCAATAGCCGCCATCTTTTCGATGGCCTCTTGCGGGTCCTCAATTCCATAAATGAACAAATCAATGTCGGAGGCGGGAGCAATGATATCATGATAATACTCGCGGAGCAACCTCATGCTCTTACCCTGCTCTTCCGGCGTACATAGAAGGGGGGTTAGGACGGACGAACCAGCGGCTAAGCAACATTAGCCCTTGAATGTAACAATGATCCGGGGGGGTACTGACCAACAACATGGCTCCAATCAAGGTTCATCAAAGCCCCTTCACTAAAGATAGCAAAGTTCTTCTTGAAATTCTCCAATGAACTGACCAATGCCGGCTCCCCATCAGATTTCCGGTCTTTCTCACCTAATGGCATCACATATCTTTAACTCCGGGGTCAGTAAAAGTCCTATATTCCCCTGGAGAGGAACAATATACCTCTTCTGCTCCTCCGGACTCTCATCAAGCTTCCTCCCACGGATCTTGAGCAAGCTATCATTCCCATCTTCGAACAATGAGATGAGGTTGACATCGCCCTTGACAAACTGGTGATCGGGAGCCTGAGCAAAGTAGGCACGGAGGGCCGTCTCATACTCGATGAAGGGTTCAAGAAGCTGGCGAACAGGAACGCCCGGGTTTGCCTCAACGTGGTGAAGGAATTTAGTGGGGGGGACGGGAAGTTCCGGGAGCCGATCAGGAAGTGGGACGGGGGTGGCCAGGTGAGGTATCTTGGATTTGAGAGGCATATTCATCATATTTTTGGCCCGTAAAGGGTGTCAAAGAAAGGAATAATTTTATCTTCTGTCTTTCTTCCTTCCGGTATGTTATGAATACCAGTGGACGATTTTAATGATGAAAAATCCAATCAACGCGTCTCCCCTCTCCGCTTTATGGGAGAATGGTGGACCACCGCGTGAGTCAAACGCGTCCTTCCAGGAACGCGTTGTCACTGGAATATCCCGTGATCACAGGGATATCGTACCATCGGGATATGCAGTAAAAGGCGATTGAACCAATAGGCTGCATGCAGCAAGAGTCATCGTACTTGTATCATCGAGGTTGTGACTCACAACTCGTGCACTAATTATCGGTTAATTGCGAGTTGATTGTTCACTTCGCCAATACCCGCGAATAAAGCAGTCAATTCAAGATGTCTGGATATTAATTGAGTCATTACTGGTGATCAATCGGGTGCATCACTGTCCTATCGGCCGCGCCCTTTGTTCGGACCCATAGCCTCATCGAAGCTTGATGTTTTTGAACCCGCTTCTATTTCCTAATTCTCTGGTTTCTAATATATCAGTGAATAGCCTTGCACCACGGATAGGTGTTGTTGAGGAGCATCCGCCATTCAAAGTTGAGCGATTCTATCCACCACGCTGGCACCGCACGGGTGTGATACAGTATCGGGTTAATTGGACGACAACTTCGCAAGAGTACAGTAAGGCATGAAGCTTATCGGGCTCCCGCATATTGGTCTGATACCGGTACCAGTCTCGCAACCCAATTATCATAGCTCGTTGAGTGGTATTGGGCTAGAACAATTCACTGGGACACATGGGTTATATTTGGCTGGTTAACCGCCAATAACCAATATGATACAATAGGATGTTTGCGGACTGCACCAGGCAGTCCTGGCTAGATGCCTGGACATAGCCCAGGGGTGAGAGGGGTCTTACCAAACTCGTTATATGATATCCCCCATTTTGTTGAGGCTTCAGGAATTCGTGAGGCAGTAGGAAAAGTGAAGCTACCCCTGGTGCCTCTCCTTCAATGACAAAACTTTACCCAAAACAGCAGTTTCTTTCCTCTCCTCTTTCTCCCCATCAATTATTCTACCCGACTACCAAAAAATTCAATTCCACTTTGTCCCCCAAGAGTTTAGAAAGCCTCAATAATGTTAAGGAGATCGGCCCCATCACCAGCATCGTAGAGTATTTGAATGGGCAATTCGTCTACCGTGCTGCCGGCAACACACTGACGTCCAGAGAAATCCACGATCTCTGCCAGCTCAGGATAGGTTTAGCTTGACAAGTTAACAGAATTGCAAACCCCGTTGGTGAGATCCAACACCTGTTGAGGGCTGATCTTGAGTGTGGTGTGGAAATTACAGATATACACCCGGCGGAAGCGCCACAACTTTGCCATAACACACCTATGCCTCACGATACCATACCTATACCGATAACCAGCGTACTCGAGCAGAGGATGGCATGGGATGCTCCCCCCCCATCGCCTTACCGCATTGTAATAGCACAGCACCAACACCCCACCAGTAAAGACTCCAGATCTATGATACCACCATCTTTCGATACGGGTACTGTACCATGAACAATTCTGGGACTCACCAGAATAGAATAGAATAAAAAAATCCCCAAAACACCAAAATCCTCCGGGGAGGTGAAACAACTAACCTGAGCGCAGCCAAGAATCGCGCAAGTCGTGTAGACCTCTCCGCAGGATGAGCAAGTGGATGAGCCGCTCGACCACAGATAGACTATGCCATTATTGATGATATACCTGTATATGTTCTTCTCTGGAACGAGTTCTCAGAAGTATGTTAGGGGGAAAAACAGCTGAAAGTATCTCAATCAATCCATGTGCCGGGACCAATTTTGCTTATGCAGTTGTACCCGGAAGCAATGGCGGCCTTTTCTGCTTCAGCGAGTAATGTACGATAGATAGATATCATCCCAGCAGTCTTATCCGCTCAAATAAGCACTCACAAAATATCACTCGCTAAATGGCCAGATCCATCATCCGAACAGCCCAAACCAGCGGGGGGGTTACAGTAAAGTTACTTGCAAGGGCTCTTGTGATTCACTATGTTATCCCGGCCAAGTCTCCAATGTCCCTGTAAATCGCAGCATCAGTCCGTGATAAGTTTAACCCGGAAGGTTAACGGAAATTGCGAAAACCAGTTAATGTCATTCACCGACGTTTCTGGGGAAACACAAACATCGGAATTGATAGGACCGGCTGAGGAACTACTCAATTGACATACGGAATGAAACCGCAAAGACAGGACAACCGGGCAATGCAACAAACAGGGTGATTGCCGGAATTTGAGTCATGCACGGGTAACGAAGAGGTATCATATGATATAATACTATGGCAACACTTCCTGGTACAAGAAGTACCGTATGCGAGAAAGCATGACAATGGGAAGGATCTTTGTTCCACCCAGGCAACAACCCATGGATATATTCCTAATAATCCCACATACACAATTTCCAATACAACCCAATGTTGAATAATCTCATGTCGAAGAAGCTATTGATATTGATCGCTGAGGAGGTCGATAAGTATAACAAGCCCTAGTCACGCTTGAGTGCCAACATATCCATCGATTCAATATTGTAATTGGGTATCACAAGTTTGGTAACGTGGGCTCAATCCACTCTGCCCACTGGTACTAGCAGTCTTAGATTATACTATAGGCAATTCTCTGGTGGTGGCAAGAGTGGGGAGGGGGGGGGGGGGAACTATCAGTATTATCAGGTATCACTTATGTTGCTTTTCTTCCCTTCTTGATTCCTACAACTCCATTACAGTATCTTTGAAACGGTTTAAATACACTAGTATGGCACCTTTTACCTATTTGTATTCCTGTGTAGCCTTATGCTTGACATTACCAGTATCATGGCGCGTCGGAAAAGAGGGGCTTTGGTATCTACCCGGCCTTCCCCAAGGCTTTTGGTTCCCAAAACGTTAGCCGCTTTACTATAATATTATTATTACCTTGCCGGCACGTAAGGCGGACTGTTGAGAATGGCAGTTAAGTACCCGTAGCTCAGACTGGAGGCTACAGTGGTGTGCGTACCTCTCAGATGAGGACGTGTAAGCAGTGAAAAGTTTTCACCTTATTTCTTTTCTATTTCTTTTCTTTTCTTTTCTTCCTAACCTTCTCAACTCTCAAGTCGACAATGAACTCCACTCCACACCTCTTGTATGAAACTCTCCTCACTCCTTATTCTCTACTCTTCACACACATACAATACAAGGTTCTCTCATTACCATTAGAGCCAACTCAGTCCACTGCGTAAAACCCACCTTTCAGTCATTACTGTTGCAACGACAACCGGTTTTATCCTGTCTGTTGTCCTCAATTTCCAACAGGTTATGAGCCCGGGTTCTGCATAACTCCAGTTGGCTCCTTTACTCGCTCCAGCCTGTCTCTCCTGCAATTGTTGCCATGATGTCAACATCCGATCGAACTTCGAAACTTTCTTCGTCCGCTACCAGTACAGTAGAGAATTTTACTAGTAAATTCGGCACGACTCAAAAGCTTAACGAATCGAATTTTTACCATTGGAGTGAGGACCTTAAAGCTTTTATGAGAGCTGATCAAACCTACGATGTCATCTTCGAAAATAAAAATCCTCCAATACCTGATCAGTAGTCAGCCTACGCCGAATATCGAAATAAAATCAATCGCGCATTTGGAATGATTTTTACCTCCTGTACCCAACAAGCCAAGCAACACATTCGTGGCCTTGACTGTCCTATTGCTTTGTGGGCTTCACTTCGGAAAAAGTATGACGTTACTGCTTCGCGAATTGGACGGTCAACACTTCAGCGTCAATTCTTCACCCTGCATCTTGAGCCTGGGATGCAAATTAACAACCTGATTTTGGCAATGAAGTCTCTACAATCAAGACTTCTTGGTACTGATATGAAAATCTCGCCAAACTCCTTTGTGTCTCTTCTAAACTCTCGCCTTCCAGAAGAGTACCTACTTACCATGGATCGAGTACTCTCTGAGTCAGACCTAGATATCGATCGGCTCGTGGAGGCTATTCTCCAGAAGAAACAAGCCATTAGAGAAAGAAAAGATGATGTGAGTAGATCAAACACAGCTGGAGCCTTGACTACAGCACTTGCTGCAGGCATCACCTATTCAACTCCGAGTCGAGGAAGGATACGAGGTTCACAGTGCAACCGCATCTACAATAGAGGAAGATACAGCAACATCAACTTCGGTAGAGGTCAAAACCAAAGGCGTGAGGGACAATCTGGGCTAGTGTGTAATTATTGTACCAAAAGAGGCTATTGAGAAGCGAATTGCTTTATCAAACAAAGAGCTGAGTGAAGGAGTTGAGCTCTCCATCCAACCAATTCCCATTCATCACTGCCTAGTCGCATCTCCAGGAATCACAATGAAGAGACTCTTATTGCATCTTATGTTTCTGAAAATGCCTTCATTGTTGATACTGCTTCGATTGTCCTGGAGCAGGCCAATTGGATCATTGATAGTGGAGCGTCCGATCATCTTACTCATGACAGAAGAGCATTTCATACGATCAAAACTCTTCTGGCACCGGTTCCAGTTTTTATTGGTAATAGAAGCTGATTGCTAGGGGTTGCTCGTGGCACCATTCAGATTCGATTGCAGTCAGGTGCTGTCTTGGAACTTGAAGCTCTATATATTCCAAAGCTTAAATACTCTCTCATCTCAATTGCTCGCCTCTGTCAAAGATATAGTATTACCTTCTCCTCTACGACTTGTGAGATCGTAGAAAAGGCAAGAAAGCCGAACCGATTAGCAGTACTCCAAGATGGACTCTGGAGACTTTGTGGCTCACCTCTCACAATACATACTTCACATGCACTTCTTGCAAGATCTGGATCTTCTATCGCTAAGTTGTCTTGGGCACTGTGGCACTCCAGACTTGCCCACCTAAACCTTCACTCTTTAAAGGTTGCTATAGGCGACTCTCTCCAACAACTATCCGCAAGTGATACA